TTGGTGCTAACCTTTCCCTCAACTCTTCCTTTGGCTTCTTTGTGCTTCTAAGATGATGATGGTGATCAAAAAGTGAAGGAATGGGCTTAAAGAAATGAGTTTTGAAGAAGAAAAGTTTTGAGAGTGAGAGAGTGAGAGTTTATGTTGTCTAGATGCAGAATGATCCTCCCTTCATCTAGGGTTTACTTTTAGTTTATATATGATGGTTTTTGAGTGGTTAGAATCAATTTTTACTATGGTTAATATTGTGGTTAGTGGTTTGTAAAAAAATTGAAAAATGAAGTGAACTGGGAGTGGTATGCATGAGCATCATGTGACGTGAATTGTTGTTGGTTGTTTTTGTGAGTGGAGCAAGGAAGAATCAGGATGGTAGATAGTGGAATGATCATCCTTGTGGTGCAAGTTTTGAAGGTTTACTTCTATTGGCAAAAATATGAAAAATGACACATGAAAGGTACAAGGCACGTGGACGCTTTTTAGGGAATGTTTTTGTGACTTAAAATATGAGGTGATCTGCATGGAATAGGTACACTAATAATGTCTTGCATGAAAAGTCATTTGGTGCATGAAAATGTGGTATGACATTTTGGTTTCTAAGCTTCATGTCACCAACTTTAAGCACTAATAACGTGATGAATTTTGCTTCAAATGATGAGTTCTTTAGCTCAAAAGAAAGTAGGGAGCAAGGTGAATAACTTTCATGTTCAAATCAAATATAAAAGAAGCTTGGAAGCATGAGGAAAATTGAGTGAAAGTTGGATGCAAAAAGTGTCCCAAGCAAACTTAGAAATTTTTCTAAGTTATAAACTTTTGACAACTTTGAAACCTCATCTTGGAAAGACCATAACTTTAGATTGATTGATCCAATTGGATAGAACTTGGTATCCATGGAAAACTTAGAATAAGAGGAACAATCTTCATATTGAAAAGAAATTGATTCGAAGCTTAGAACCATGTGCAAAATGATCTTGAAGTTGACCTCATCAAGTTTGACAACTTGAAAATCCTAACTTTGGAACCACATAACTTGAGTTGTGTTGATCTAATGGAAGAGTTCTTGGTATCAATGGAAACCTTGAAGGATGCCCAACAACTTTTATGTTGCAGGAAATTTTAATTGAAGCCTAGAACCATGAAAAAGAAGGCTTTGAAAACTTATCCTCCAAGTTGGGATTCTACACTTAAAAAAAATTCTAAGTATGAAATTCCAAATTCTTGTTTTTCTCAACTTTATGCTATCATAACTTGAAATTTATGCACTTTTTGGGAATTCATCCTCATTGCCAAAGTTGTAGTATAGGAAGAGTTCTTCAAATTAATTTTTGGATCAAAGAAAATGGATGTCTAGATTGAAAGTTATGACCTTGGCAAGTCAACACCAAATTAGGGTTTTCATGACTTAGAAAAATTCCACTTTCTTCTAAGTTACCCTTTTTTAAGTAACCTCAATTATCTTGATTTTTCTTGATCAAAACCAATAATAAAACATGTTTCCATGGAATTTGACTTAAAAAGTTCACGTTTGACTAAATAAATCTTAAAGTCAAAGGTTTGACTTTGCATTTAGTGACTTATGCATCAAATGAACTTCGCCCCTTGATCCTCAACGAAACCAATCTCTTGAGCCATTTGAACATCATGAGAGGAATCCAAGGGTGTGTTTAAGAGTCTTGAATCATGTTCTAAGGCTTTAAACCATGCCCTAATCAAAAGTCAAGGATTGCAGTTGACTTAGATTGATAAACCCTAATTTCACAACCATATGAACTTGATATTTGAAGAACTTGATATGAGGCCATCTTGCACTTGATTATTGATGGAGAAGGACCTATTGATAATATGGGGACTTACCTGGTTGATGATCTATCCAAAGCCTTGATTGACCAACCATTGAGCCTCTTGAAATAAACCTAGTTTACAAGTGAAACAAAATAAAGTAAAATCTTGATAATTGGTTAGTTATGCATGCATGATTGACCTATAATGATATACAAAAGATCAAAAAATCTAAGGGTAAAATTTGAGATATGACAATAATAATTATTTTTTTAGTGTAACTATTAATTATTTTTACTTTTTATTTTAATTTAACATATAAATTTTGTCAAATGTAGTAGGCATGAACGTACATGCTTTTTAGATGTGACATTTTTCGCCAATAACAAATGTATTTAGCTGTCATTCTATAAAAGAGATTTTTTTTAGTCTCTGCTAGGGTTTGGTAAACTTCTCTACTGAGAATAATGGTCTATAGTGTCAATCACAACTCTCAATTTTTGGTTCGACTCTTAGTTTTTTGGTGAACGATGTCAAATGTGCAATTAGAAGGTTTTTCGTTGCATGAAGAAGGGGAAGATGAGGGATTCTACTTTGATATTGAGGAAAATAAAGAGGAATGAGGAGACTTGCAGTGGTGCTTGGTGGGGAGATTCATATGTGACATACTCATCCATGTGAAATCGATGAAGGTGAAAGTAACAGATATGTGGAGGTCGGTGCAGAATGTAACCATCAAACAGGCTAAAGTGGGCCTATTCTTGTCACAATTTGTTCATGCTTTAGACATTGAAGCAGATATGAAAAGGGGTATATAGACGTTTGGCAAATATCTCTTTATAATTGAAAGGGTGAAAATTGGCGCTCAGATTGAAAATATCTCGTTATACCATGTGGACTTCTAGGTCCAAGTGCATGATACAAATGAATATGAGCCAAACATCATGCATATAGAAAATAATCTTGAACATGATTTTCCTGTACCAGTTGCATCCCAAAATATGTCTGTTGTGTCAAATCTTAGAAGGTCAAGTAGCACACATATACCTCCTATAAGATTGCAAGATTATGTATGTCATACTCAATATCCTCTCACTCACTCCCTCACATATGACAAGCTTTCAAATCCTTACAACGATTATGTTTTGAATGTCTCATCCATCTATGAACCACAATTTTATCATCAAGCAACTACTATACCTGGGTCGTGTAAGGCAATGTCTGAAGAAATAGTAGCTCTTGAAGCTAATCACACTTGGACAATTCAAGCACTCCCACTTGGCAAGAAAACCATTGGATGTAGATGGATTTACAAAACCAAATTCAATGTTGATGGCTTTTCATACAAATACAATGCTAGATTGGTTGGCAAGGAGTACACTCAACAACCTGTCCTTGACTTCATAGACACATTCTCTCCAGTGGCAAAGTTAACCTCTGTCGGGTACTTCTTAGCATAACGCTACTTGCAATTGGAAACTGGCTTAGTTGGACATTAACAATGTATTTTTGAATGATGATCTCTTTGAAGAAACTTACATGAATCTACCACTTGGCTATCCAAGTGAGGGGGAAAATATGGTGTGTAAGTTGCAAAGTCCTTATATTGTTTAAGACAAGCTTCAAGACAATGGTATCACAAGTTTTCAACAACAATTATGTAGTATGGATTCAAACAATCATCAACAAATCATTCATTATTCACAAAGGATTAAGAAATTCTATGGTGGCTCTCTTAGTGTATGTGGATGATATAGTATTTGCTAGTCATAATAGCAAGTTAATCCAAGACACTCAGGTTCTTCTTCAAAGCATGTTCAAGTAGAAGCTTTAGGGAGATCTCAAATACTTTCTTGGCCTAGAAATTGCCAAAGTCAAGTAAAGGAATCTACTTATGTTAGAGAGAATATACTTTGCAGCTTCTCATAGACACGAGTTTCATAAATGCCAAACCTAATATTTCATTTGCAGTTAACAAACTAAGTCAGTACATGGCTAAACCAAGACAACCTCATTTGAATGGTATCCACCGTATCCTACAATACTTAAAGGGAACACTAGATCAAAGAGTTATGTTTTCTGCGAGTTCATCTCTTAACATTTCTTCATATTCAGATGCAAATTGGGGAAGTTGCACCGCCACAAGAAAATCAACTACAGGATTTTGCATATTCATTGGTGAATCTTTGGTAGCTTGGAGGTCTAAAAAGCAAGCTATTGTGTCAAGATCATATGTAGAAGCAAAACATAGTGTTTTAGCTTCTGCGACATCTAAATTGTTATGGCTAAAACAACTGCTGATGACATTCAATATAAAAGTTTCATCTTGCAAAGTTTTCTGTGGCCGTACATCAACAGTCCAAATGACAACAATCCTATGAGCCATTAAAGAGTCAAACACATTGACATTGATTGTCACTTTATTCGAGAACATATTTCTACAAATTTCATCAAATTAATCCACATTCCATCAAAATACCAACTAGCAGATCCAATCACTAAAGCCCTTCCAAAGAATTTATTTCACTATCTTACATCCAAGTTGTGGACTGGCAATATATATCTCCCAACTTGAGGGGGAGTATTATGATTTTGATAGAAAGTCAATTAGAATGAATAACTAACTATATGCAAGTTAGTTACTAAGATTCAACTACCACTCTTAGTTCTAGGTCACTCTCCATATATAATGTATCAATTCTGTTTGTAATTTCACTATCAATTTAATGAAGTGATATACATTTTCATCTTCTTTATCATACACTTAACAAACTACAATACCCTTTTCCAAATGTAGCCAAATAAAATAAAATGATATGCAAATGCGGAAGACAAACAATGTTCGCAATACATATACACACACTATTAAGTGTTGAAATAAGTACAGCAGCTCATGATATATCATATTACATGTGTATTGTGTAATCTCTGTTCCAGAGTTCCCTTAGAAATATTTGTCTTTGAACCAGATTCTGTCTCCAACCTAGTTTTCTGAATTATAAGTTTATTGTGGTTGATCCCTACAATTTCCATTCTGGTGCTCCTTTACATCCACACCTTTATGTAGTCTTTCTCTTTTCAGAATCATCTTTACAAGCTTCACCTACCCTATCCCATGCAAGAAAATATACAGTATGGCTGTTTACTATGTAATAAAAATATAGATACACTACACAAACATATCTGTAACACTGAATCTCTAAAATTTCTATAAGTTGACCGCGTTAATCCTGTTTGGGACCATTACTCGAGTTTTCTTGCATTGATGAAGTAACAGAATCTATGAGGAAGGATTTTAAAATCCTATATAGTTTCTTGGGTTTCTCCATATTGATTGCATGCCCTGCATTCTTAACAACAACTAGTTGTGCATTCTCTCCCAGATGCCTACGCATCAGAAAAAAGAGTTCAATGCAAAGTTATAACAATCAAGTGCAAAAGGGATGAATTGTAGAGGCGTTTCAAAGATAACATTAAAAGTGCACTAAATTACCTTTTCAGTCTGTGAGCTAATTCCAGTGGGAATACCTGGTCCTGTTCTCCCCAGATTATTAGTGTAGGCTGCAACATTGCAAAACTGTACCTCTTAAGAAGTTATAATTCAAGAAATAGCAAAACTTAATGAAACTAAGTCATTCATAAAGTAAGGTCATGGGAGAATAGAGAAACCTGGGTTATCTTGGGAAGATTAGACAGTTTTCTATCCTTATACAATGTTTCAATTAGTTCTTTCTTCTCCTGCCGGTATTCGGTGCACATCACCTGCAAGTAAAACCATTTTCAGAAACAAATTTCGGAGAATCGAAATGGCCATACTTGTGTATTCACGTAAAGGGACGGACAGTGAGACAGTGTACAAACAGAGTCAGAACTTATTTTCAGCTATGAGACGTCACAAGTATAAAATCGAAACACATCAATAATTACTCGTATTCAAAACTAAGTGGTTGGACTCAAGTCGTTAATAAATTCCATTTAGAACAAATCATTCGGGAACCCGAGTTTGAATCTCGACAATAATGATCTTTGATTAGACTTTAGTTGTCTCCCAACCAATCTTCGGATTACTACATCCCCTTCCCTCAAAAGATTCTAAAACCAAAACAAAACTCAATCAATTCAATAACACAAGATTCTAAAACACTAATACCATTTTCTAAAGATCCAAATTCATTCATTATACAATTAAACCTAACCTAAATCAGAATTAAAACATCAAAATCATGATCAACCATGCTAAATTTCTAAATAACATAAAAACCATATCCCCTAATAATCACAAGATTTTATGATCAAGATAGGAATTAAACTGAAATCAAGGTTTTAACATAGAGAAAAAAGCACTCACATCAATGAAATCAGTGAGAAAACAAGTTGGCATAACATTAATAGGTTTAACAAACGCAAGCTGAACAAGCTGCTTCATCTTTTCCGGAGTCTGTGGAATCAAAATAGTAGCAGCTTCATCAATACTCTTAACCCTAAACAACCCTTCCTCCATATCCTTATCTTCCAAACAAACCCCCGCACAACACATCACAACTTTTTCGACGCGCTCCGGAAACTGCACCGCCAAACTATACGCTACAAAACCGCCGTAACTAATACCTACGACGCTCATTAACCGAACACCGTGAGCCTCCATTAAAGCCGCAACGCACTGAGCCTGAAAAGACTCGGACCGATCGGGGCGGGTTGTGTGTGATTCGCCGAAGAAAAGTAGGTCAGGAACGTAGACGTTGAAACGACGGGTGAGCGGGGAAATGAAGTCGTTCCATTGCCACATTGCGTTGGCTCCCATGCCGTGGAGGAGGAGGAGAGAAGGTTTGGAGGTTTTGTGGGTTTTGGGGATCCAACAGTGCATGATTGTGCCGCGGCCGAGATCTGTGGTGGTTGATTTGAGGCCGGCGTTGGAGAAGGAGAAGCGGTAGCAGCGGTCACGGTGAGCGGTGAAGCTGAAACACCCCGCCATGTGAAATGCAGATAGAAGGACTCACAGTCAGAGGTGAAGCTATGCAGAGAATTGAGTGAACAGTTGTGTTCACAATTATTGCTCTTTTTAATGGAATAAAAGTCTTGTCATTTTTATGTAGAATGGATGATTTAGATTTCACATGAGGAGGATTTCACTGGATAGAATCTACTCACAGAAACGAGTCTTTGTCATTGAATAAAAGTCTATTTAGTAGTTCATCTGTAATTTTATTTTAGCAATGTCATTGAAAACATTTATGATTTTTATTACTATGTTCAAATTGTTACTTCCTGAGTGAGGGATCTTTTAAGACCTTTATTCAGCGTTAAATTAAGTAAATCTATGTAATTATATACTTCAATGTGGCACACGTTTCTTGTCTCTCCCATAACCACCCATGCCTTCCTTTCTCTCTCACTCACTAGAGTTGTTATTACTTATAAATAATTCCCAAAACAATGTGATACTACGTCGAATACACTGTTTATCATATAGTATTTCTTTTTTACACTAAATACATACGTGGAATATACTCTTTACCATATAGTGTTTCTTTTAAATAAAAATAATAATTTTTATGAGCAGTTCGTGAAAAATGTCGGTAAACAGTAATTTTTAATAGTGAAACAATGTTGGTTAATAAAATATAAAAATTAATTAATAAAGTGATAAAGTTGATCAATAAAACCTCAAATATTAAAAATAGTTTTTAATAGTAAATCAAAGTTAGTTAATAAAAAATAAAAAAATTGGTTAATAAAGTTATGAAGTTTATAATAAACGTCTACATATTAAAAATAATTTTTAACCGTAAACAAAATTGGTTAATAAAATGTAAATGGTTGGTTAATTAAGTTATTAAGTTGGTTAATATATCAATATCATTTAATTTAAAAATAATAATTAAAATTATATATATATATATATATATATATATATATATATATATATATATATATATATATATATATATATATATATATATATATATATATAAAATTACCGTATTGATGAACAGTGAAATACGGTCTAAGTGTAGCAAATTAGTGTAAAAATAACACTTTTCAATCTCAAAATACCAGAATTCAATTAAAATAGAAAGGAAGATGGAATTGTCGTTGATGAAAGCAATGCATTAAGCTTTGAACTAAATTAATTTTAGAATTTGAGCAAAACGTTACAATCATAAACAAAAACCAATTGATAATCAATTGTGAAATTGATGTTTGAAAAATAGAATATGATTAGTTTCTTGATCAACAAGAAAATCACAAGGTAAAGAAAAAGAGAGAAGAAGGAGAAAGACAATTCAAAGTGGTTTGAAACTCTATATTCTTAATTCAATTACAGATTAGGGAACAATATTTACAATTGAATCTCAACCGCATTCATTTCTCTCTCTGATTAGGATTATTAGAGATTTGAGAAGTGAGGACTAATATGCTATTTATAGAAAAACTAAAACTATAGCTTTCAACTATCATACTAAACAATACGGCTAACATATTGGCACAATTGGAGGTCCTAACAACCTAGCATAATTTCGACAACTATACTAACTTTTCGACATCGACAGAGTTTGCTACAACACTAACTTATAACCCATAAGCTACAAATCTCCACCTTTGAACAAAATCTGAACTATGAAACCAACTATTTGTCATCATGCAGTTCTATCAGCTGCATACGGTAGAAAAAATTGCAACTTGGTAATATCTTGATGATCATATCAGCTGCATTTTTATCATTCAAAATCTTTAGCACTTGGACTTTCCACGCTTGATTATCTCTCTGACGAAATGTAGTCTCGCATCGATGTGCTTGATTCACTTATGATAAGTTGAATTATTCGACAAATGTATTGCACTTTGAATATCACATTTAACAGTGATTTCTTGACTTTGAAGTTTCAGCTCCTTAGCAAAACCTTCAAGCCACAGTGTCTCTTTCACAATTTCACTGAGGGTAATATCTTTAGTTTTAGTGATTGATAAGGCAATAATTTTCTAAAGTGTTGTTTTCCAACTAATTGATGTGTCAAACATAGTGAACAAATATCTAAAAATAAATTTTTTAAAAATCATACAATCTACATAATCAGATTCAACAAATCCTTTAATTTCTACTTTGCTATCGTCACCACAGAATCCACCATAAATAAGACTCGACTCAGAGACTCATTTATGTATTTTAAGATCCACTTTAACTTAAGCAAAGCTATGCAAAAATTTGAGTGAAAATAGTTGTATTCACAATTATTGCTCTTTTTAATTGAATAAAAGTCTTGTCATTATCACATAAAAAAAGTGTTCGTCGTTGAGAAAAAGTCAACTTAATAGATCAATTATATCTTTTTTTTTAGCAATGTCATTGAAAACATTTATGATTTTTATTATATTATAATAAGTTAGTAAAAGAGGAAAAGTGAATTTAGTAGATCAATTATATCTTTGTTTTAGCAATATCATTGAAAACATTTATGATTTTTATTATATTAAAATAAGTTAGAAAAGTTAAAATTAATCGGTTAATTTATAATAAATAAATTATAAATAATTTTTAATTAAATTCATATAGAATTAATTTTTAGAAAAAACTTAAAGTAAATTCATTTTGTTAATTTTTTTTAATAATAAATGAAGTCATGTCTCTGTTAAACTTTTGAAACTTTGAATAATTGAATAAAATAATAATTAAATAAATTTTAATTAATTCAATTTGCTCAATTATATAGATGAGTCAATCGTTAAAGCTTGTGTCTCTACAAGTTAATCAAGTTTGCATCGATCTAACTTTTAAAGCAATGGTCCACAAACTCAAAACCTATAAGACCAACTCCAACAGTGGTTTTTCAAATTGGTTTGCTAGCTTGGCATTGAAAATGTCAACAAAATGTTATTCCAGCTGTAGAACGTTGCAAACATAAACAACGGTTCTTCATTTGGTTTATTATTAAAATAATCATTTAGCTTTATTTTATTTTTTTAACTTTTTTATTTATTATAAATATAGGTTTGTTGGAAAAAATTTATATCATTTCTATTTTCTCTCCTTTATATTCCTATTTTCTCTCCTTTTTATTTGCTCTTTAATTTTAAATTTTTCTCTCACAATTTCATCATTTTATTCATAAATATTTAATTTTTTTCCAACAATTTCTTCTCATTATCATTTTATTTCAAATTTTCATCTTTTTATTTCAAATTACATTTGTTTAGGCCAAATTTTCATATTTTTATTTCAAATTACATTTGTTTATGTGATGTTATTTATTTTTATTGTTTTTAATTATGTGATGTTATTTATTTTTATTATTTTTAATTATGTGACATGTATTTAAATTTAATTTTAATTATTATTTTCAATTTTATGTTTAATTTTAATTTTATGTTTAATTTGTATTTATATTAATTAAAATTTAAATATTTAAATTATAATTTTAAATAAAATAAATTTAATATAAATAATATATTTTTAATAAAGTGGTGGGACACAATATGGGTTCTTTGAAGTTGCACCATTGGAGTAAAAATTGAATGAGTTGCTTTAAAAGAGTGGATCCCACAAAAAACTCAAAAATGGGTTGCACCATTAGAGGTGCTCTAAGGCATCTATATGATAGTACTAATTTGTTGTTTGGGTGTAGCTTCTAAAAACCAAACCCTTTTCATTAATATAGAAAAGGATTTAGTTTTGGAGGAACTAGGTTGAGTACAATGGTGTCTCTAGTTTTGTTAAGTTTATCTATTGGCCTAGGTCATATTGGTATACTTTAAATATCCCTTGTAGCGCATTTGCTTTATCTTCCTCATCTTTACAAAAGATTAAATTATCATCAACAAAAGATAAATAGTATATTTGAGTGAAATTTTTACCTATAGTTAGACCATGGATTTTATTGGCATATAGAAATCTTCAAAGTTAACCCTGAAAAAAACTCAACACAAGTCATGAAAAGACAAAGGGGTAGAGAGTATGAAGAAGGTCTCTTCTATGTAATTTGATTTTAATGAAGATAAGTATATCTCAAAGAAAAAAAAAAAGAGTTTTGATAACAAGGGGATATTAAAGATGAAGTTGTCATGAAAATGATCATGGAAAATCAAAAAAAGATTTGGAATGATTAACAGGTTTTTAAGGTACTCATTACAAATCACTTTATATTACTTTAAATGTTCAGAAATATCTCTCAAACTTCATATACAAACTTCTTTAAAAAATACATGAAAACCATTAAAGTTAAGCTGCAAAATTGATGATTTTTTTTTAAAATAATGCAACGGTAACATTGGCTCTGCGGTAATCGATTATCTTCATGTTAATTGATTATCCTCTACGATAATCAATTACCAAGTGAAACAAAACATTTTTTCATCAAAGTAAGTCATTGTTTTGAATGACAAAGCTTTATGAAACCTTTTTAAACTTATGCATCCATCCATAGAGATTTTTAAAGATGTATATAAGGTAAAACGAATTTACCTATTTCAATTTCAATTTTCACACAATTCAAACATTATTTTAAAGTACTCATTCATATTTCAAAATTTTCTAACTTTGCATCTTTTACATAACTTAAAAGTTTCATTAAAAATTTTGAGCACTCAAGGTATATAAAGTTTGAATTGTAATTCAAGAAAGAGAAGTCCAATATTACAAGGGTTAGTCTGAAAAAGTTTTTTCAAATCTCTTCTCTTTTGTTAAAATCTCCTAAACCAATCTGGACAGACACTTAATTAATTAGAAACTTGTTAATTAATTATGAAGGAATTATAAATTATATAATTGATTAACAAATCTATTAGAATCAAAGTGTAACACCTTTTAATACTTTAAGAAGGTTAATAATCAATTAAGTGATGTAGAATGTCAAATTTTAGCTTGGTTAATATATTAATACATAGATTTAATGGATTAACTCATTAAAATGACTCATAGATTGCTTCCTTTTTGAGCTAGATATTTAAAAACACAATAATTTTCGGAATAGAAACTCT